ACCAAACCACTGACGGCTATTTTGGCGTATTATTCCAGTTTGCAAGTTTTCATGAGTTACCGCTCTAGAACGCTCAAAAAAACTTCCATGCAACACCAAAGGTCAACTTTATTTTTCACTAAAAGTATATAAACCCACTGAAAGTTTCCTTTTCCAGTTACGGATTTCCGCCTGCTACTTGATTTCGCGAGATTTCAGAAGTTGCATGCCGCTGGTGCGAAAGGTGTTGGTACAATTCCTCGGCTATTGGTTGATTCGTAATTGTCGTAATAGGGCAATACTCCTTGTCGACATTTCTTTTAAATTATACAGCTAAGATAATTTGTTTTATATCAAAATTAAAGTAAAGCTCGTGTTCGGATTTACCATGTGACCACAGGCAATACATGACGAAAGCAGGCGCGCGCTTCGTACCTTTTTTTTCGCGAATATTTAACAATTATTCCTCGAGCCCGAATGGGCTCTGAGTCTTTAGCCCATGAGGCCGAAGGCCGAATGAGCTATTGACTCAGAGGCCATGAGGGCGAGACATATAGCCTAGTAGTAGCTTAACCAATCAGAACGCACCCTTGATAATAAACCACTAGTTGGATTTTACTAATAGCGAAAATACTGTTTCTTCCGGAAACATACAGTAGACATTTGATTTTGATAGGGTCTATCGCGCGCACCAAACCATACGTATTTTGAAGCTGATTTTAAAGTATTTAAAATGTATTTTCAGTATTTGAGCACTATTTTACTGTATTTTAATCCTATTTGACAAAGAAATTTAAATTTTTACCCCTGTTTGAAATATATCTTGAGTGTAGTTAAATTGTATTTCATGAAAACGAAAACCTCTCTCATCAATTTACAATGTATTTTGTTTAATAAATATGATTAAAATAGGGTATTTAAAATGTATTTTGGGCATAGAACCACTAACACTGTTACAAACAGAGTTCAAATAGACTGTTTGAAATCTGTTTTAACAGCTTTTATGCTGACTGTATTTAAAAACTTTTAAATAGGGTACTTTAACACTGTTTTGAGTTGTATCTAAAATGTAGTTTGAGACGCATCCACTCACAAAGTTACAAACAGAGTTCAAATAGACTATTTGAAATATGTTTTAAGAGCCTAAATGCTGACTGTATTTTAAATCCTTTTAAATAGGGTACTTTAACACTGTTTTGAGTTGTATCTAAAATGTATTTTGAGACGCATCCACTCAAAAAGTTACAAACAGAGTTCAAATAGACTATTTGAAATATGTTTTAAAACCTTAAGAACTGACCGCATTTTAAATACTTTTAAATAGGGTACTTAAACACTGTTTTGAGGGTATATTTGAATTGTAGTTTGGGCACACAACACTCTGACTATAAAAACAGATTATACATAAACTATTTTAAGTCTGCTTAAAGACATCAAATGCTGACCTTACTTTAAATACTTTAAAGTACTTATTACTTATTATTACTGAGGTGCGATATTGTAATGTACTTTGGGATACTCAGACTATAAAAGTAACAATTGCACAAAGTTAATTTTTAATCCTTCATAGTGTCACGAATTCATAAATGACTCAAAACAAGCTGTCACATATTGTAGACCGGATTCTCTTTTCAACAAAGTTCGAAGCTGAGCGGAAAATTAAATCTAAATTAAATAAAAAAAGAGAAGAAAATTAGGAATAGATTTTAGCTTTTTTTTTATATAAAAATCGAATCTTGTTTTATTTTAAATGCTTATATATTTTAGCTTACAATATCTATTAGATTGTAAATAGTTGTGTATTTTATGAGGGCCACAAGTTTATTAGCCTTTGGCTATTGGGTGCTACCCTCTTTAAATAAAGGCTTTACTTACTTACTTACTTGCTTCACGTAACTGTGACAGTGTGCCGATAAGAGATCAATCCGTTCCTCAATGTTCATTACCTGCAAGCTCTCTGCGAAAATCTCCTCGTACATTTTAGCCGTGATTCAATTAATGCAGTTACAGCATTCCATAAGTTTTTTAAAAGAAACTTCTTAAAATCTCATTTTAATGGAAATTTTTCACAAACAGCCGAGGCCGCGGGCCGAGAACCGGATGCACGCGGTCAACAGAGGTTTATCTAAAATAAGCCCTTGAAATTACATAATAAATAAATTATCCAAGCTAAGATCTCACCTCGTATATATTGCATCAAGAAACAAAGCTTAGATCTGAATAACTCCGACATATGGTTACCTTTCTCTCATAGATTATTCCGTACATGCATAGCATATTGTTTCTGAGATGTCACGCGCGACTGAAATCACGACTTCGCGCCGCGGTGATGTCACAAATGCACGTGATAAACAAACCGTCCTTTGTCCTTTGCTCATTTCAAATTATTGAACCCGCGGTTGCTGTGATTGCGGGTGCGCTTGATTTTACCGTTTGTTACGATCTTACAAAAGTACATTTCAACTCTTCGGATTGTCTGAACACATAGATGTTGCTTTTATCACGAATCAAAAATGGGTATGACTCCTCAGCGACTACTATGTACTTTGAAAGGTTCTGGTTCAGGTTCTATTCGAAGCACGCTGTCTTATGTGTTAATCCAAGAGTCTTCTCTCATGTGAGTATTATAACATGTTACTAAGACGCTTAAGTATACGCCATATGAGAAACAAATGAAGGGTAGTAAACATTTATATACTCCCGCCTGTACGGCAATTTTAGTTTTTACAGGGTTCCATGCTCATCCTCGCTGTGTTGCATGAATGATCTCAGTCACTTGATGTCACGCTCTTTCATTCTAGCGTAAATTTGATGGTATTATTCTTATGTTGTTCTTTATCAGCCAATAACTGATGTTCAGGCGTAGCCTGCAAGCTTCTGATAATACTTGAGTAAAGCCGTGAATATAATAAATAATGTAAGTTACATTTATGTAGATTATTATTTACCGGTAACGTCAGTAACGCAAATCCCTTTTGAAGCCGAAGATTGATAGCCTGTGTACAGACCCCCTCCCCTCCGATGTTTATTGAGGGGAGGGGGTCTGCACACAGGCTAAAGATTGATTTCAGCATTTCTGAAAAATTCCATAAGAATTTCCCGAGAATACGTAGGGAAATCAACGTAAAGTAATCGGCTAAGAGATAATTCTCGTGAAGTCCTGGCCTAGGACTGTGTGGAGAAATTTCGCAGAGGTAAATCTTGCTTTTTCAGGGTAATTTTCGACGGTTATGTAGTCATTTTATTTCATGAATTTAAATGGTATTTCCATCCTGTTTTTGTACTGTTTTTATGCTCTTTTGACCGATGTTTGTACTGTTTTCAGACAACTCTAAGGCTATTTTCTTACAATTTTATCCTGTTTTTGCATTTTTGCATCCTATTTTTGATGTATTTTCACAATATATGCGTGCTATTGCTTTTCTTCTTCTGTGGTATTTTAATACTATTTTCAAAGTATTTTTATCGTATTTGCAAATACGAGTATTTTACTAAATTTCGAGACCGATTAAACAGCTATTAAAATATATTTTGAAGCATAACATTTTAATAGCGTTTTAAACAGGTTAAAACACCTTTAAAATCAGTCGAAAAATATATTAAAAATATATTTTTGTACCTATTTTAAACCTGTTTTTGTCAAAATACGTTTAAAACTGCCATTAAAAATAGTTTTAAAATAGTATATGATATTAATTTGAGGAGGACTCGGAAAAAAAATCCGAGTTCCAGATGGGATTTGAACCCACGACCCTCCGTGATCTAGTCGGATGCTCTAACCACTTGAGCTACTGGAGACTCTATGGTGAGCAAGGGCCAATTTGTGGGACTCGACTGGAACCGCATCACGCGGCTACACAGCCAAGTAATGATAGGCATACAAGAAGTGAAGAACTCACTAACAGCATCGCGCTGTCACCTTAAAGCATATCCAAGATGCGGCCAACCAACCTCCAAAGTGAGTATATTAAAGATGAAACAACAACAACATGATATTAATTTGAGGAGGACTCGGAAAAAAAAATCCGAGTCCCAGATGGGATTTGAACCCACGACCCTCCGTGATCTAGAGGACTAGATCACGGAGGGTCGTGGGTTCAAATCCCATCTGGGACTTGGATTTTTTTTTCCGAGTCCTCCTCAAATTAATATCATGTTGTTGTTGTTTCATCTTTAATATAAAATAGTATAGCAAATTAAAATATGTTTTTAAAACTGTTTTTATCCTGTTTTTATTCCGATTTATAAGGTGTTTTTAAAAAAACTGTTTTAGACCTGTTTTGAGCCTTTCAAAAGCGCTGGGATTTTTTCTATATTTTAAACGAATTTTAAAATACTTTAAAAATTGTTTTTTAATAGCATTTTAAACAGGTTAAAACACCTTTAAAAGCAGTCGAAAAATACATTAAAAATACACTTTTCACTCTATTTAAAACCTATTTCACAAAACAGGTTAAAAACAGTTTTCAAAAATAGCATAAAAATACATTCAAAACAGTGTTGGATTTGGTAAGGGATATCCTTAAGCAAATTCGAACCGTATACCAACATCACGCGCCGTGGAAAGATTTTTGATGGAGCTGAACAACTTAACCAAGACAGGGGCGGCTGCGAAAACGACACTTTAAAAAGGAGGGTTCGTTGTTTCAAACTTCACCTCGCTTATAAAACTACATCACGTTCCATCACGTTCCAACGTTCCATCGAGACACGTTAGGGAGTTGATTTCTAAAGGACTATATACCAGTTCCCGCTGGAGAGGCAAATAAAATCGTTATCTTGTGTTAGCGTCCTCCTCAAAACCTGACTGAATTAGGAAGTTGCACGTCGTAGCCACGGGTAAAAGGTAAAGCAACCATATCTTACGTCTGTAACTCGTGAAAGTGGTTCAATTGATAAACTTGAGGGCGGCGGGGCATTTTACCACCCTTGCTCCATCACTGCTCCGATCCGTTTTAACGGTATTTTGAGCTTAGCGTTCACCATGTGCTGATCATCGTTATATTTTATTTTGCATTTACAGGTATTGTAGGGGGTGCAAAAAACGGCGAAGCCTTGGGAGCAACAGTTTCTTCGAAGAGTTCCCTAGAATTTCTCTGGGAAAGATTCTTCTTTGTATATACTTCTTTCTGGAGGACGACTCCCAAAAATCTGCATCCAGGAAGATCGGCCTAACGAAAGAAAAAACGTCTCAGATCTACAGAAAACTGGAGGACGTGTGCTCGGTCGATCTTGAGTACAACCCAATCATCCCATTTGCAGGTCCCGGGATAGTTGTCAAGTGCGACGAAAGCAAGTTTAACCACAAGGCTAAAGTAAGTAAGCAATCTGTTTTTTTTTTTTTCATGTCAGCAAGCCGGCCTTGCCGGGACACATTATGGAATGTTTGTTTGTCGCGTAATCTAGTCTCATTGAAAGAGAAAGTCATGGTATCTAACTTTGAAGCGTTAGGGTAAGGGTGGGAGTGGAAGTAGAACCTTCCCACCATTTAGCAGGATATGGAATCAAACGAATTGAACCATGGAAAAAGGTCTCATGTCTGAAACAGGTTAGCAAAATGAACAATTTTTATGAGGATTTCTTAGTTATTTGCCCCCGCAAAAAATCCAACTCATGAAACTCTTTTCTTTTTTTTTTTTTTAATTTGGTCCAGTTAGCTGCTTGCGAGTCTGTATTCAAAGAGGTAATAGTCGGATGCAATAATATTATCAAATTACCGAGTGTTAACTAAGGCATTGTGTTAAACACCTGCTTACAAGGTGATTTGTTTTTATCTCAGAACAACCGCGGGAGAAGAGCAGAGCGGGACGTTTGGGTCTTTGGCATTGTTACAATCGAATACACTCCTTGCCGAGGCTATTTTCAAATTGTCAAACGTAGAGATGCTGCAACTCTGCATCCTATAATTGAAAAATGTATTCTTCCGGGCACTGAAGTGCACACAGATGACTGGGGTGCGTATAGGAACCTTGATCAGCGGCTAAACAATGTTGCAACGCATAGAGTTGTAAACCACTCTAGATATTTCGTCGATCCGCGCACCGGCATTCACACACAGGAAGCAGAATCGTGTTGGGCTACCCTTAAATTAAAGCAAGTAATGAAGAGGGGAATTAGAATAAAGGACATGCAGTCATATCTTGACGACAGGATGTGGCGGCAATAGAGGGGAGGACCACACCAACAGATTATGAGTAACTTTTTACACGCTTTAGCTGCACAATTTGATAACTTTTCTGTGTTGTAAATAAATTACGTAAATGTGGGGGAGGGTGGAGAATAGTACCTAGAAAAACGTGGGCCTCGGAAACCTTTGGCCCCATCTAGGAATCCTGGAAGCGTTTTTGATAAGTCCGAAGTCTCTCTCTATCTCTTTTTGTTTTTTTTTTTTGGGGGTGGGGGCGCCTCAGAGTGTCGGCTTTTTATACCGAAGGATATAGGATCTTTGGATTGGTCGTTTTTTGTCACTTTTTTAAACTGCTTTTGTTAGTTGAGCTGTAAGCCAGAACCTATGGCAGTGAACGAGGAAAGTCATTACCACACGACATGGGTGTTTCATTTGTCCGACTGTTAATCTCCGATTTTAAATTAACTGACAAAAAGTTATGACATTGGCCGTAGAACGAACCAACAGAACGTAGCGCATCATTCGAATGACGCGTTATTTACATGTAAGGGTTAAAAAACTACCATCAGTAGATGAGGCAAGACTCGCAGGTAGCTTTAGGTAACGTTGACACTATTAATATTACCAGATAGTTTTCGCCCCACCATTAAAATAGAACCGGATAGTGCCTCTGTTCGCTCACAATAGCAGTTGAACCAAGGCTATCGAAGAAAGGGTTAGTGCAAGGTGCATAGTCTGGCCAAAGCCCGTTTTTATTAACAACAGACTCGGATTTTTCAAAAAGGGGTCTTGTCGTAACGGGTCTTGCCATCCGCTACTTCAAAATAATAGTTCTTCATTTATTTCATGATAATCGACAAAGCCAGGGGCGTAACCAGGATTTTTTTCAGAGGCACAATTCTCCCAAGCGCTTTCCACTTCCCCACCGCCCCCCACCCCTCTCCAAAAAAAACTTCCTTGATTAAAGATGTGGTTACGTTGTAAGCCTAAGAGTTTTTTTCTGCATATGAAATGACATTAGCAACTTATGAAATACTTTACTTTGTCGGGTGTTTGGGTCCATTGACTGATGTACGTCAATCATCGATTATACAATAATGTTACATACTTTTCCGGATTCGTTACTTTATTTCGTTACTGGATTCGTTTCGTCGTTTTTAAGCAGATGCAGCTCATGAATCCGAATTGAAAAGGTGCCGAGTTTGTCAATAGAGTCAATAGAGTCAATAGAGTCAATAGAGTCTCAATAGATTTTGAATCCGAAATCTGAAGTAAATCCGACGCCTTGTAAATTCCTAAAACAATTTGCCCGGACACTTTTCCGCATTTGATCATACGAGTTTGCAGTAAAAACAAAATGGAAGTGCTACTTTCTAAGCAACGACGACGACGAGGGCAACAAAAACATCCCTAGCTATCCAAATGAATGCGCGTTTTTTTAAACTTTTATTTCATCTCTCTTAAAATGGCAGATATATAGGTAACTTTCCCTACGGAGTCTTGGGGACCGCACCCAAGTTCGGACTCAGAGAAGTAATTCAATTTGTTCCTGTGTTAACGTCCTCCAAAAACGTGGCAAAAGGAAATTTACGCTTGTGTTCGTACAGGTTGTAAAGAAACAGCGCGCTGGATGTGCAAAATCTTTTCTTTTTCATTTACTTATTGGGCTCATTGCCGTCGCCGTAATCGTCGCCTTCGTCGTTGCTCCCGGGATTTATCGATGTGCGTAAACGGTTAGGAATCCAAACACCCTTTAAGTAACAACACCTACCATCTTTTCACTAGATATACAGGTATATGTTATTCAAGGTTCGGTCCATTAATGAATTACTTCGTTTCTCTGGAAACCGACATTTGGGTGGAGAGAAAAAAAAATCCGTTGTTTTAAAAAAATGTATATTTCAAAGGAACAAACAGAGTTGAATGAATTGAGGCAAACTTTGCTCTTAAAATTATTATCTTAACTTAAGATATTTTCCTTTCTGATTAGGTTTAAGTTTTTATTTTTTATTATTTATTCATTATATATCTTTTTTGCGCACGAATGTTTCAGCTAGCTACGCCCCTGAAAGCATGGATAAGAGTTAAAAATATTTTCCCAAATGAGGTGAAAGGATAACTATAATATCCTAAAAACTTTCTTTTTCTGTCCCTTTTGGCCTCGAGCGCTAAATTGAATAAGGAGAGGTTAAGCCGAAGTAGTCAAAGTAAGTCTCTGTACCTTCCGAAATGTCAAACACCAAAAGATTCGTGGAGATTATTATTAGGACATCCCTTTCTTTCTAAGACCACAAGAAAAAAAAACAAAACAAAAAAAACAATGAAAATAGCCATGATCTCTTGACCATCTAGGCGTTACTCATTATCCTTTTTTTCTTCTTCATTTGCAATGAAATGATTAATGTAAGTATAATAATTCTATATAGTATGTAATGTATTGTAATTGAATTCATGAATTCATATCTTGACTCGAGAAAAGCAACTTGAAGTACGTATATCGAAGGGAAAAGACATACTATTGTCACCCTTCTTACCGCTCACCATTGGAAAAATATAAATACATTTTGCATATTTTGCTTTAGCTATAGGATATTGTACTGTAAAAATTTTCGAAAGAGGAAAAGCCTTCTTTTTTTACGGATAACTTATTATGTTTTCTTGTGTTTAACTTTGAAATGTTGTGTGATCTTTTACCAGTAATTTAATAGGGCCGGCCATTTTACTTTCGCCGGAGGACTTGGGTATAGATTTAATAAAAAGAAGGAAAAAAAAAATTACAGAGTGAGTTTGACTTACATTCACATCAATAAATCAATCACAGCAGTTGGCTAGAAAAAAGTCGTATCTACCCCGACAAAATAAAAAGTGAACTGGTCGGCATGTAAAGTTGGGATGTACAGTGTATTGACCATTTTGCACAATCAATAAAACTATATTTTGATAATGAAATCTGAACATGCAAATTACAAGTACCGATAACAAGCATTGGCTGTTTTGGCAATGAGTGTCATGAATAAAGAAAGAATTATATTCAAAAATTTCTTTACTTAAAACATTAACGATCGCACGCTCTCTTTGTACCCCGCCTCGTTAATAGCAAGGAATGAATGAATCCAGATGTAGAGAATAAGGACATTAGAATTGTGTATGACGCTTCAGCTAAGGCTAACGAGAAGAGTCCCTCGCTGAATGATTGCTTGGAAACAGGACCGTCTCTTCAGAACCTCCTTTGGGATGTGCTAGTTCGGAACCGTCTTAAACCAATAGCATTAGCTGGTGACCTCAAGCAAGCATTCCTCCAAGTGCGAATTAGAACAGAAGATCGGGACGTCCTGCGGTTCCACTGGTTCAAGGACACAACTACGTTTGAAGTTGAAGTGTTAACGTTCACCCGTGCTTTGTTTGGCCTTGTGCAGTCACCATTCTTGCTGGGTGGGACACTGCAATATCATTTACAAAGTCTAAAAGGAAGATACCCTAAGGAAGTGGACGAAATCCTGAAGAGCCTATATGTTGACGATTTGATTACTGGTGGAGAAACAACAAAAGAGGTGTGCCATTTAAAGAACACGGCTGTTGCAATATTTTGCGAAGCAGGTTTCCAGCTCCACAAGTGGCACTCCAACGAACAAACTTTAGAGTCTGAAGCAAATAGTGAACAAGAAGATGAAAGTTATGCAAAGGAACAACTAGGAGTTAAACCCGGTGAGACCAAGATGCTAGGGCTACCGTGGGACAAGCTCAAGGACACGCTGGCAGTAACCTTCCCAGCAGCTCCTCCAGATGTAACGAAGCGAGAAACTCTACGATTCCTTGCGTCAATTTATGATCCATTAGGCATTGCCTCACCAGTATCCCTTGTGGGGAAGATTTTATACCGAGACATATGCGACCAGCGCATACCATGGGATTTGCGAGTACCTGAGAAATTAGCAGAACGATGGAACAAATTCGAGAAGAGCCTAACAAGCATGGTACAAGTACCGCGCAGTCTAGCAGCATTTCGCGAACCCATCACCGCGATAGAATTACACGCGTTTGGAGACACCAATGGTGCAGGAACAGCTGCCGCGGTGTATGCGGTAGTCCAGCAACCCTCCGGGACAAACCAAGGTTTACTAGCAGCGAAGTCCCGTCTGGCAAAAAAGGGGTTAACGATACCAAGATTGGAGCTGGTGTCGGCGCACATGGCCTCAAATCTCGTGGCAAACGTGAAAGACGCCCTCCAAGACCAGCCCATAAGATCAGTTTGTGGATGGTTGGATAGCACGGTGGCCCTACATTGGATTAAAGGCGGAGGGAGTATCTACAAGCAGTTTGTTGCTAACAGAGTAAGCAAGATAAGGGAAAAGGACTACATTACCTGGAGACATGTGAACACCGACCAGAACCCCGCAGATGTAGGGAGCAGAGGCTGTGACGGAGCCAAGTTGCCCAACTTGTGGCTGAAAGGACCTGAATGGTTAGCAAGCCCTGAAAGCTGGCCAGCAGAAATTCTAACTGAGCCAAGCAAGGAAACCGAGGCGGAAGCTAAATTGACTAAAGAGGTCCTCGGCACTATTGCGGAGACCAAAGATGATCTAGACGAGATCTTGAATAAACACAGTTTCTGGAAGACAATGCGAGTGACAGCATGGATTATGCGCTTTGCACAAAACTGTAAGCAGAAGAAATCAGAACGACTTGCCGGCCCTTTGACCACATCTGAGACAGACAAGGCAGTCCACTGGTGGGTGAAAAGAGCACAAGAAAGCAACATGGGGACAGAGAAGTTCAAGCAGGACCAGTTGAGCCTAAATTTACAGAAGAACAGCGAAGGGGTGTATGAATGTCGGGGAAGAATACAAGGAAGCTACCCAGTTTACCTGCCACCAAATACAGTGCTATCAGAGAAGTTAACAGAAGATGCCCACGTGTTGACATAGCACGGGGGAGTGGGCCTCACCATGACCTACATCAGACGCGATTACTGGATACCTCGCCTGAGACGTTTAACAAAGAAGGTAATTCGTGGTTGTTTTGGATGTAAAAGGTTCCAG